CCTGGTTTAGGTTTGACCTGGTTTAGGTTGGTCAGGGTCCTGGTCCTGGTTTAGGTTGGTCTGGGTCCTGGTCTTGGTTTAGGTTGGTAAGTGTCCTGGTCCTGGTTTAGGTTGGTCAGGGTCCTGGTCCTGGTTTAGGTTGGTCAGGGTCCTGGTCCTGGTTTAGGTTGGTCAGGGTCCTGGTCCTGGTTTAGGTTGGTCTGGGTCCTGGTCTTGGTTTAGGTTGGTCAGGGTCCTGGTCCTGGTTTAGGTTGGTCCTGATCCTGGTTTAGGTTGGTCAGGGTCCTGGTCCTGGTTTAGGTTGGTCAGGGTCTTGGTTTAGGTTGGTCCTGGTTTAGGTTGGTCCTGGTCCTGGTTTAGGTTGGTCCTGGTTTAGGTTGGTCAGGGTCCTGGTTTAGGTTGGTCCTGGTTTAGGTTGGTCCTGGTCCTGGTTTATGTTGGTCAGGGTCCTGGTTTATGTTGGTCAGGGTCCTGGTTTAGGTTGGTCCTGGTCCTGGTTTAGGTTGGTCCTGGTCCTGGTTTGGTCAGTCCTAACCCTGGATGTTTGTGCTTCCTGCAGGTGGTTAATGAGATCTACCCGGTCTGGACCTACTCGTACCTGGTGCTGCTGTTCCCGGTCTTCCTGCTGACGGACTTCCTGTGCTATAAGCCGGTTCTGGTCCTGCAGGCCTGCAGTCTTCTGGTGACCTACGTGATGCTGTGGCAGGCGCGGGGCCTGCAGGCCATGCAGCTGCTGGAGTTCTTCTTCGGTGTGGCCACGGCCTCGGAGGTGGCCTACTACTCCTACATCTACAGCGTGGTGGAGCCGGCCCAGTACCAGAGGGTGACCGGGTACTGCCGGGGCGTCACCCTGCTGGGCTCGGCGGTGGGCTCTCTGATTGGTCAGCTGCTGGTGTCCGTGGCAGAGGCCCCACTGCTCACCCTCGTCATCATCACCGTGGCGTCGGCCACCGTGGCCTTCGTGGCTCCCTGGTTCCTGCCCACGCCCAGGAGGAGTCTGTTCTTCCACAGGAGTTCAGGACCGGCCGAGGACCTGGCGTCCAGCGGGTCCAGCACCTCCCCAGCCCGTCAGGGGGAGGAGTCAGAGAGCACGTCCATGGTGAGGCCGTCTGATTGGTGGAACTGGACTTCCTGTTTGAGTTAAGGTCTTGACCAGGTCTCTTTCAGGTCTCCAGGTCCTCTGTGACAGCAGGAGGCAGCAGAGGACTCAGGGAGGTGCTTCAGGTCCTGTTGGAGGACTTCCTGCAGTGCTACAGGTCTCGGCTCCTGCTGGCCTGGTCCGTGTGGTGGGCCCTGGCCACCTGCGGGTACTTCCTGGTCCTGAACTACGCCCAGGCCCTGTGGGAGACCATCCACCCGTCCAGAGAAGGCCTGACGCTCTACAACGGCTACGTGGAGACCCTGGCCACGCTGCTGGGTAGGACCGGTCTCAGACTCCTGTGGTTCTGGACCAGGTGCAGAGGTCTGATGTGTTCTGTGGGTCCCTGCAGGAGCTCTGGCAGCCTTTCTGGTGGGCTACCTGCCCCTGTCCTGGTCTGTGTGGGGGGAGCTGGTCCTGTGTGTGCTGTCCCTGCTCATGGCCGTGTGTGTGCTGGTCATGGACCTGCTGAAGGACATCTGGGTCTGCTACGGACTCTACGTCCTCTTCAGGACCACCTACATGCTGCTCATCACCATGGCTACGTGAGTCTGCAGACCCCTGCTGTGGCTACATGTGCAGAATAATTTGATCAGATTGAAATGTATTCAGATTAAATAATCTGAGTGTATCATTTACATGATCATGACCAGTGTTTACATACAGCTGTTCAGATTATCTGTCAGCATGAACCACCCCTCTCATTCAGATTACACATTAACTCAGATTACACATTAACTCAGATTACACATTAACTCAGATTACACATTAACTCAGATTACACATTCATTCAGATAACACATTAATTCAGATTACACATTAACTCAGATTACACATTCATTCAGATTACACATTAACTCAGATTACACATTAATTCAGATTACACATTAACTCAGATTACATATTAACTCAGATTACACATTAACTCAGATTACACATTCATTCAGATTACACATTAACTCAGATTACACATTACTCAGATTACACATTAACTCAGATTACACATTAACTCAGATTACACGTTCATTCAGATTACAAATTCATTCAGATTACACATTAACTCAGATTACACATTAACTCTGATTACACATTCATTCAGATTACACGTTCATTCAGATTACACATTAACTCAGATTACACATTAACTCAGATTACACATTCATTCAGATTACACGTTCATTCAGATTACACATTAATTCTGATCGTGCTGAATCATGTCAGAACAATCTGAATGGGGTGTTTACATGACACATTTTTATTCCGAATGGCCGTTTAACTGAATACTTATGTGTCAACGTAGCTACTGACAGAAAAACACCTGGTCAGTTACGTGTTCAGAGGTAAATACAGTTTATCATGTTAACCATGTTAAGCAGCTCCTCTGGTTTACCTCATCAGCAGCATTTTTAATGCTCGCACACAACTTTTAATCAGATTAAGGTCCTGAGAGTTCCTGACAAACTGACCCAGCTTCAGCTGCTGGTTTGAGGTTTTAATGAACCATAGACCTATAAACACATTCACTCACWGTTACACCTACAGGCTGATGTAGTTTACAGCTCACATTATCTATCTATTGACCGACTGACAAACCGACCAGCATACCGACCAACCCACGTACCGACCGACATACAGACAGACCAGCCGACGTACTGACCGACGGACGGACCGAACCATGTACCGACCCACCTACTGACCCATGTACCGACCGACCGACGTACTGACCAACCAATGGACCGACAGACGGATCGACCCACGTACCGACCGACTGACGTACTGACCGACCGATGAACCGACAAACCGACCGACCGACGTACTGACCGACTGACGTACCGACGGATGGACGGACGGACCGACCCACGTACCGACCGACGTACATACTTACCGACCGATGGACCGACAAACCGACCGAACGACGTGCTGACCGACTGACGTACTGACCAATTGACATACTGACCGACCGACCCACATACCGACGGACCGACTGACCGGCTGACGTACCGACGGACGACCGACCCACGTACCGATGGACGGACGGACCYACCCACATACCAACTGACCGACCAATGGACGTACCGACATACCGACCGACCGATGTACCAACCGACTGACGAACTGGCTGACGTACCGACGTGCCGACCGATATGCCGACTAACCGACCGATGTACCGACCGACTGACATACCGACGTGCCGACCGACGTACCAACCGACCGACATACCGACCGACTGACGTACGTACCTACCGACCGACGTACCGACCGTCCTCCGTAACGACTGAAATACCGACCAAATGACGTACCGACTGACTGACGTACCAACCGACTGATGTGCCAACCGACTGATGTGCCGACCGACTGACGTGCCGACCGACCGACATACCGACCGACCGACATACCGACCGACCGACGTACCAACCGACTGACGTGCCGACCAACTGACGTGCCGACCGACTGACGTGCTGACCGACTGACGTGCTGACCGACTGACGTGCTGACCGACTGATGTGCTGACCGACTGACGTGCCAACCGACTGACGTACCGACTGAAATACCGACCGACATACCCACCGACCGACATACCGGCCGACTGACGTACCGGCCGACTGACGTACCAACCGACTGACGTACCAACCGACTGACGTATCAACCGACTGACATGCCGACCGATTGACGTACCGACTGAAATACGACGTACCGACCGACTGACGTACCGACCGACTGACGTACAGACCGACTGACGTACCGACTGACTGACGTACCGACCGACTGACTATCAACCGACTGACGTGCCGACCGACTGATGTACCGACGTACTGACCGACTGACATACCGACCGACTGACGTACCAACCGACTGACGTACCAACCGATTGACGTACATACCCACCGATGTACCGACTGACCCATGTACCGACCGACCGACGTACCGACCGACCGACTTACCGACCGACTGATGTACCGACCGTCCGACGTACCGACTGAAATACCAACCGAAATATCGACCGACTGACGTACCGACCGACTGACGTGCCGACCGACTGACATACCGACTGAAATACCAACCGAAATACAGACCGACTGACGTACCGACTGACTGACGTACTGACCGACCAACGTGTTGACCGACTGACGTACCGACTGAAATACCGACGTACCGCCTGACCGACGTGCCAACCGACTGACGTACCTACCGACGTACCGACCGACTGATGTACCGACGTACCGACTGACTGACGTACTGACCGACTGACTGACGTACTGACGNACCCACATACCAACTGACCGACCAATGGACGTACCGACATACCGACCGACAGATGTACCAACCGACTGATGTACTGGCTGACGTACCGACGTGCCGACCGATATGCCGACTAACTGACCGATGTACCGACCGACTGACGTACCGACGTGCCGACCGACCGACGTACCAACTGACCGACATACCGACCGACTGACGTACATACCCACCGACCGACGTACCGACCGTCCTCCGTAACGACTGAAATACCGACCGACTGACGTACCGACTGACTGACGTACCAACCGACTGATGTGCCAACCGACTGATGTGCCGACCGACCGACATACCGACCGACTGACGTACCAACCGACTGAAGTACCGACCGACTGACTTGCCGACCGACTGACGTGCTGACCGACTGACGTGCCAACCGACTGACGTACTGACTGAAATACCGACCGACATACCCACCGACCGACATACCGGCCGACTGACGTACCAACCGACTGATGTACCGACTGACTGACGTACCGACCGACTGACTATCAACCAACTGACGTGCCGACTGACTGATGTACCGACGTACTGACCGACTGACATACCGACCGACTGACATACCGACCGACTGACGTACCAACCGATTGACGTACGTACCCACCGACGTACCGACTGACCGATGTACCGACCGACTGACGTACCGACATACCGACCGACCGACTGATGTACCGACCGTCCGACATACCGACTGAAATACCAACCGAAATATCGACCGACTGACGTACCGACCGTCCGACGTGCCGACCGACTGACGTACCCGACTGAAATACCAACCGAAATACAGACCGACTGACGTACCGACTGACTGACGTACCGACCAACCAACGTGTTGACCGACTGGCGTACCGACTGAAATACCGACCGACCGACGTACCGCCTGACTGACGTGCCAACCGACTGACGTACCTACCGACGTACCGACTGACTGATGTACCGACGTACCGACTGACTGACGTACTGACCGACTGACTGACGTACTGACGAACCGACCGACCGACTGACGTACCGACCGACCGACTGACGTGCCGACCGACGTGCCAACCGACTGACATACCCACCGACTGGCATACCCACCGACTGATGTACCAACCGACTGACGTGCCAACCGACCGACGTACTGACCGACTGACGTACTGACTGACATACCGACCGACCGACATGCCGACCGACGTACCAACTGACTCACGTACGACCTGACAGACGGACGGACGGACCAACAGAAGTATGACCAACGGACGTACCGACTGAAATACCGACCGACTGACGTACCGACTGAAATACCGACCGACTGACGTACCGACTGAAATACCGACCGACTGACGTACCGACTGAAATACCGACCGACTGACGTACCGACT